ACTCATATATAAGATTGCAAAAATGTACATTTCTGAGCAAAATAGGTTGATTGATTATTGTTTAACGCCGAGTTGGCAGTATTTCAGCCATATTTCGGCGGGTGAATTTATATGATCGGTTTTGAAAGGTTTTAGTTTCACTGGCGGCCCCCAGTGAGCCTGCTCTGTTTCGAAAGCCAGAGAAATAGATGTCATGTTTCTGACATGTCTTAATAAGGATTTCTGTTAAATTGTTTTAACACCGATGAAAATTCGAGTTTCGAAAATCATTTAAATAGGTAATTTGAAGTAACATTCGGAGTATTGTTTAATAAAGAGGAAAGAATTAGGTCTATTTTAAATTATTTTACTACTTCGCATATGTGCATTTTACATGTATTCATTCTGAGAAAAATCATATCAGCATTCTTCATGTAAGGATTTGTTGGTAATGAGACCTATACACCCGGACTGCTTTTTGCGAAAATGTCTTCAAAATTCTTAGAAGTTAAAATAACTGCATGATTATAATTAAGACTTAGCCTTCTACCAACATTTTATAATAAAATTCATGGCAACTGCGTTCATGGTTCAGGTCTATGGGTGGGGCTAAGTTTGAAATATTCATTATTAAAATAATTTAGACCTTTGGAAATCTTTTTTCTCAACTCAAAGACAAAAAGCAGACAAACTGTTTACTGTTAACAAACTTTATTCTTTACCACCTTTGTAAAATTTATTGCTCCTGGGTCCATGGCAGGCCCGTAGGAAGCAATTTCAGTTTTGGGGGGGGGCACAGCCAAACATTTTTCAGTTGACAGTTGAGGGGGCACTACCAAAAATTTCCTGACAAGCAAAAAGAAAAAAAAAAAAAAGGTCGTCAACTACCAAAAATTCCTTGATAAGCAAAAAAAAAAAAAAAGGTCATCAGACGCTTTTATTGAGGGGGCACAAGCATGTAGTATCTATGTTTACTATAGTAATCTATTTATCGGCAAAATTATTGGGGGGTGCACGCCCCCCCCCCTGTGCCCCCCCCCCGGTTCCTACGGCCATGCATGGTTCAGGCGCTACAGTGGGGCTTAACCACAGGTGTTTGAGGACAGGAACAACCCCCCCCCCCCGGATATAGACCCCCGGATCGTTTCGACTTTTCTCTCATAAATGGTCTTTCGGTGTCATATTTGTGATATAATCCATACCATTAATTCGAATAATTACTTAATACAAACATTTTATAAAAATTTCTACCAACTGTATACATATAAATCAACAAGGTTTCCATCTTCGTCAACACTTAATCAACGGAAGTGATGAGGAGACGACTTTTTACCCATTTTCCCCATATAACCAAATATGAACGCAAGGCATCTACACGGTATAATTCTTGTCTTTTTTGTACGACTTCGTAATCAAAAACACACGAGGTAAACTTTTTTTAATGAAACAAAAGATAGGCATTTATAACATCGCGTTTTAAAGGGACATAACTACCAAAATGAAACCTGCAAATCAATTATAGACACCATTCATTTAAGTTTGTAGGTTTTGAACTCAATGCTTCCTGTACATTTGAAATATATTTTTTAAAGTATAAACCAACCAGATTTCTTCATATACTAATTCCAAAACTGTGCTTCACACTTTCTGCAGAAGTTGTGTATTTGGGGAGAAAGTCGTCTCCTTATCACTTCCTTTGAATAAGCTTTGATCAGTTCAAAATTGCTAACATCCTTGTAGAAAATTGACGGTTAGGTTTTAAGTAATTTTTCAAATTGATGGTATGGATTATATCACAAATATTACATTGCAAGATAATTTATCGGGGAGGGGTGTCCCTCCTGTCCTCAAGCACCTGTGGGATTAATTGGTTATACACTGAAAATACTAAATATATACATTAGTTAGAATTTGAAAATTTTGTTCTTTTCTCATAGACATCTAGCAGGAAAACGGTCAGTATGAGTATGATGAGCAGCTAGCTGTATATAATATTTTGAAATTCTGGTCGCCTGTGTCCAGATTTCCGGCCCCAGAATGGGATTCATCTGATCATATTTTAAATTTATTAAATAGTTTGAAAATCTTATTTATTAGTATTCTTGGACATTTAGCAACCTAACTTTATGCAAGGCATCATTTAGCTATTTTTCTTTTTTCAAATTTGTGAAATGTTTGTCCTCAAAGCTTATAAGGAAGAGTTGGAATAAGGTGATCAAATATTTAAAGTGCATACTAGTATATTACTCCCAATCATCTGGGAACAAGCTTACGAGTATTACAGAGACCTAACCAACTTGTTTTACTCATTCAGGTGAGTCCAGAATTCCAGGTGGGGGAGAAAGGCATTACACCCAGGTGACCGTCAATACATATCGGCCTCTTGTTTACAACAAAACTCTTAGTGATTTTATGTATATTTATTCAAACAAGCAATGGGTGAATTAAAAAAAAATGACCAAACGCATATTTATCAACCCACACTAAAAATACAGGCAATAAAAATAGATTTCTATGTCTCAGCATTTGTCTTTAGATAGTGTCTAAATACCTGCCAAATATCTCGTTAATATCTCAATTAACAAAAAAGTTATGACCAAAAATGATGTTAAAATTGTCAGGAGTGCAACACCTTTTTGTGACATTTTGAAATTTCAATATTTTTTGGAGATCTTTGAAATAAAAAAACAATGCTTCATGTTGAAAATAAAGACTTTCCTGATAATATTCAAAGTATTGCGCTTTAAATGTGGACTGTCATAACTTTTGTTTAATCAAGTTGTGGTCATGACTGATGTTTAAAAAAATGTTATACCATGTCAGGAGTGCAACAGAAAAAATGTAGTGTTGCCAAAAAAACATCAATTGTAAAATTCTGATAGAAAATTAAGACAAAAAAGAATTTTGGAAGTGTAAAATAATAACTGATATACATTTTAAAACTTAAAAATGTTATATAAATCACAAGCAGCATTAATGAGAGTCAAGTATATGTGCATACCCAAAAATGTCAGGAGTGCAACATTTGATGTTTTGCTCCCAAGCATGAAAAAACTATTATCATTATATGATTTTCTGATTTTTATTTTGGAAAATAAGGACACGAAGAACATTTTTACCAAATAGATTTATCAATTACAGGATCTGCCTGTGCTTCAGATCTATATTTCTATGGTCAGGAGTGCAACACATTTTTTTAAAGATTCAAGTTGTGTGTCGAAAAGACTTCTATTCATGCTTAGAGGTATCCATTAATTAATAATGATCTTTTTGTATAATTTAATGCTAAATTATTGATAGTTTTATTATTAAAATCTTTCCTTTTTCAATTTTATCAATTCAGATGTGTTTTTATCTTTTTTGTGATTTTTTTAATGAACGTTAAAAATAAACACACTAAAACATTGTCATAAAATTCAAGTAATTCCTCCTCAACTTCACTGAAACAACAGAACAAGTTCTTATGTAATTTTCACTTCACAATTCTACTTTAAAGGCCTCAATGCTTTTGGTCAGGAGTGCAACAAATATGTTAGAATTATAAATCATCCACTAAGAATAAAAATAAAGAAAAAATGATGAGTAGAATTTCTCTGGTGGGTTACTATGATTGTCCTCTAAAGGAAAATATGCTATAAAATATATTTTATCTTCTAAATATACATTTAAGCTAGTTTTTTGGCATAAAATAGGGTATAATTCCAGATAAAATGCGAATTTTAAATACTTTCATCTGTTTTAATTATGAAGTATTGGACTATAAGTATTGCACAATTTCATTACCACTTGATGTTGCCAACACTTGATGAATTTTTGTGTTCTATGGTTTTAATTTTAAACTTTACTGCAGTCAGGAGTGTAACAAAACTGCTTCATAATTACCGATGCTTTTTAACTATCTTTACTAAAAAATAAGTTGAAAAAAAATGCTTGATACTATTTGATATTCAAAACACTATGTCTATCAACAAATTACAGAAATTTTACAGTCAATTCAGGGAATAGTTTTCATCATTTCACATATATTTTAAATAAAATTTATATATATTACACTTTGCAAATAATCATGTTTTAAGGTCTTCAAAATATGAAAAACCTTCTGTAAACGATGAAAAATATCAACACGACAAATTGATTTACAAAGTAAGAGTGGGTTATTGTGTGTTATAATTTCTAAAACAATGTTAAATAAAATACATATCAGATGTCAGGAGTGCAACACAATAATGTAACATAGGGTCACTTCAAAATCTAGTATTTTTTGTAAGAGAACTCGTATATAACAATTCTTTTTTGGCTTAGATTTAAAGAATTGACTTGAATGACAAAAAAGTGAATTTTGGGGAATTTTATTGCTTCATATTTTTTTCATATTAAAACTTTTCAAACCAGAATTGAAAAAATAATGTAAAATAACAATCAAAAAGCCAATTTTTTGTCACATGTACAAGAGAAGATACTCATTCAAGGTCTAGATTTAATCATTTATACCCCTTTTACCATTTTGAAGCATAAAAAACTATAATTTCTTGTGATTATGTATTTTAGAAAGTCTTTTAAGGTGTAATGATATTTTATTTTTTCAAAAGAAATTTTACTCATAAAAATTCTGAAACTATTTAATCCAATTGTCTATTCTATTGCCACTTCAGGATTTTAAACTAGAATGCATTTGCAATATGATGATATAAGTGAAAAATATGTTATAAGTAGTTGAATTTTGCCAAAAAAATTCAGTTTGGTGGTCATTTTTTTTTAATTCACCCCAATGCAATATATATACACTGTAGGATCTCCGATGGTTTGTGGTTGGATATGATTTCTTATCCAACGATTTGTGTGTATTTTGATAAAAACACACAAAAAGTTGGATACAAAATCATATCTAACTACAAAGCATGGGAGATTCTTTTTATCACATGTTTGACACATAGCTGTTTCATGTTTTACATTGTTTTATACATGTATATGTAAATCCAATATTTGACTTAATCAAATTCACACAAAAACCATTGTGACGTCACAACTGTGGATATGAAAACGACATATTATGAGCTATATCCACTGTATAAAGGAGTTAACATGTGATAATTAAATTATATAAATACTTACATTCAATAGTAAGAAACAGGACGCTATTACAATTCAATATACAGTAAAGAGGTTCGCATTTGTTTAGACATGAGACGTCATGTGACGAGTTAGGTGGTGTCTCTCACGAAAGGTTTCCTGACATATGTTGCATCTCAGTTTGTCATCGCGTTTCTTTTTTACAGGGTCAAATTCTCGTTTATGATGAGATCTCATGTGATACACGAGATCACTTGTCATGCGAAAAGAAGTATTACACTTGGCACACCAGTTCTGAGACAATACCATAGCGTTGACAGGAGATTTAACAGCCACTGGTGATGTGTTTTGTAAGATTTTTTCCACCATAGGATTGGAACTCTTCATATATGGAATTCCAGCATTGGGTCTCTCAGACATAAAGTACTGTTTCCATTGATCTGACAGCGAGAAGATCATACTGGCTTTCACTGATCCATTCTGTGAGACTTGCTGTGACATCGGAGGATGAGGAAGTTGAACAGTGTTACTTTGACAAACCTTTGGCATTACAGACGTTTGGGGTGAAGTTTGTACACATGAAAAATTGAAGCCATACAGACATAAATCTACATCTGATGATGGTTCACTCACTTTATAACGTTTACCAGAGAAATTAGAAAGGGTTGAATGAGGTGTGTAAAAACTTCTGTTATCATTTTCAACTTTTCTAAATGCACTGGCATCTGAGTATGTGTTCAAAACAGTGTCGCTGGACAGTCTTCGAACATTGTCCGGGGTATTAACCTGTGCAATGTCTACACACTCAAAATCGCGTTTTAAAGATTTTGCTAAGTTTTTCGAAGACTTCGCATTTTTCTCTAAAATTATCTCATTGATGATATTGTGCAGCTTTGATTTTAGTAAATTTAACTCATTTTTGATCTTTTTCTCTGTTTCCCTGAAGTTTGAACTCACAATTTCTTCACATTTAAAAGTATGATGAGCCATCAGTGGAAATTCATGTTGAAAAACTTCACCACAGAAGTTACAAACCAACTGTTCCCCATCTATAAAAGTTATAAAAAATTAAATTTACGTTTTTAAACATCGACATTTTACTTTCACAGTAATTATCACCTATCAATTGTGTTTCACCAATCTACTACATTTTTGATAATATATTTTATCAGTCCTTGAATGCATATAAAAATTGAAATTTTAATGGGTCTACTTTAGCTACCTTGGTCGCTGTGTCTTTTAATGATCTGTATTTGTAACGCCTGACAGAAGTCCTTGCTGTACCACACAAATAACGGCTCACCGGCTTTTATGATTCTCAGTGTTCTATAATACACTTTCCCGCCCTTACTGTAAGCTTCCATGTTCTGTTCCTCTTCATTCCGCGCTGAGGGGATACAGATGAGCCATTCCAAGGCGTGTGTCCTTTTTGACATTTCAAATGGATCCAGCTAAATAATTATAGTTACCGTCAATTCCCCTTTGAGAAAAAAGCTTTTCAAGAATATTCAAAAGGATGCTACCAGTCTGTTTACAATTATACTATTTTTAATTGACCATTAACATAAATACCACAAATTTCGTTGTAACAATGAACATAACCCGAGCAAATTAATGCAGACAACTTCTTACCGATAAATTAATGTCATCCTTTTCAGTTCTACCATCTCCCGTCATCAATCCTATCAGAGAAGTTGGATTCAGGGCTGATGACTCTACATTAACGGGACCAAAGATGACGCCATAATCTATGTCGGTGTTTGTGGATACCGCCATGACTTTTTTTCCCCTAAAAGATTTATAGGAAAAATGAGATCCTGGAATTGCTGAACTATCTCTAAACAAAATGAATAGTAACCCAAGTAAACGAGTGAGTTTTTAAACTCTAAGTATTTTTAATGTGCTTGTTCAAGAAAAAAATATCAAATGAAAATTCACCGAAGGGACCTTCTGAAATGTAAAATATGCTTAATTTCGATTAAAACCACTTAAACTTGCCAGATTTATGATTTCTATTAATAAATAGGTGATGTGCTAGTTCCAAAAAAAAAAAAAAAAAAAAAATGAAATGAAAATTCACCAAGGGGCCTTCTGAAATGTAAAATATGATTAATTACGATTAAAACTACTTTGACCTGCCAGATTTGATTTCTGTTAATAAATAGGCTTGCTTCTAGAGTCTTTATGCCTCTCCTTTAGACACATTAATAAATGACAGTTATGTAAAGGAAATAGTAGTTTGTTTGTTATAGGTTATGGCTTTAAGATTTACTAGTGAAAACGAACAGCGATCTTTTTCAAAGTCCGTTTAATGTATACAAATTATGAGCAAAGCCAACATGGACCTTTGTAAACTTAGTTGAGATCAGGTGCCATGGAGGAGGAAGCATCCCCTGTCGACTGGCCACACCCACCGTGTGCTCCTTGTCATGATCGCGGGTAAACGAAAAAATCCATAGACATTTCATTGAGAAAATATTGGCCTCACAATTTATGTGAAAATCCTCAGTCAACATTCGACTGAACGACAGATTATATTTGCAATCAAGGTCAATGTATGGACTATTAAATTTGCAAAATGTTGACTTTTAGCGAGATGCTGATATCCTTTTTGTCATCAACTTATAATATATACCTGTATCATATAATGTGAATGTATAAGTGGATCAAAGGCATTGAACTTTCAGGAACTGGGTCAAAAAGAATCTGAACAGGTAAAATGCTATCACGTAAGCAATTTTCTTTGCATTTTAATTAAGTATCCGCTCAGTATCCAACTGAATGTACAATCCTATCTTGAGAGTCAGAGGCTTTATTGGGTAGGATACATAAATATGAAATTTATTTCTACCATTGAATCAACTCCTATTTCTTTTTAATCATATATTTGAAAAAAATACTGTCATTAGATGTAAATAAAATTAAACGCAAGAACAATTCAAGTAAACCCTTGTTGAAATATGAGGTCTCAGTTCACATTCGAGTTTAATGTTAATGGACTTTAAAATGCGTATCTTTTTTTTTTTTTATAAGATTCGAGGTGCTTATCATACAGAAAAAATGTAAGCATACTACAAGAATATGTTATCTAATTTAAAATTTCAGTGAATGTAAAACAAGATTGAATAAATGTGGATCACTTAAAATCTTTGGCGGAATAAACGACATATGCCGTGTTACTGGATTGGCCATATACTGACCATAACTGCCGATAAATCAGTATTAGCATACCCTTCGCCGACTTAACAATATTGCCCAGTTGATCCAAATGCAATTTATTTCGCTGATAGATTTCGGCTCTGAGGCGTTATCTGCATACTTAATATCTGTCGACTAGTGTAACAGTGAATACAAAAGATTCAGTACTCGGTTGTGATCTACATCATAATCTATGATTACTTTAATTGCATATTTCTTAATTAAGTACTGTATTATGGAAATGCATCAGCATGACCATTATTTTTTTATATGCTATCATAAAAAAATTTCCTCTTACGTGACTGTTTAGAACCAATCAGATAACGCACTGTAAAGAGTAATTACAATGAGGTATAATAATACGTTTTGTGATTCGGGTGTTACTAAATTCTGTAAATATTTTACTTTACATGAAGTTTACATGTACTAGTATTTAGCTGCAGAACTGTATCGTTATTGTTTTATATATTAGTCTTTGACCATAATTGGGACAAAGACTAATATATAAAACCATGATGCTACAGTTCTGCAGCTAACTAGTATTATGCTGATAAATTAGGACATCCGAAAAGACCTTAACTTTCAAAGAGTGTATTTCAGGAAATGCCGATAGTTACAACTCTGTAATTGTTCTAGTCCAAACTTACAACAGTTTGCTTCTTCCACGGCAGGATAGAAAGATACCAAAGAAACTTACAGGCGTTGCACAGGTCAGTGCAGTATACAAACAAACACAAATACACGTAAACTGCAATAAAATGTAAACAAAGGTAATATAAGATAACAAGCATGAACACTCAGGTACCCGTGACAAGAAAGCAGTCAGGTGTCCTAGTGTTGATATCGGAGATAGTAAAACTAATATGGCGTTTGCCTATTTACAAGTCGTGTTCGGCTTTAAGTAAAGGGACGTATTTCAATGAAATATGAAGATAACAAACAGAAGTCAAGCTCAAAAGTCCATTAAAACAATACAAATCGGGAGCAGAGTAAACAAGGACCCCTAAAAACATCAGAGGTGGGATCAGGTGCCATGGAGGAATAAGCATCCCCTTTCGACCGGTCACACCCGTCGTGTGCTCATTGTCATGATCAGACAAACGGAAAAATCCGTAGACAATTCAGTGGTTAAATAATGGCCTAACAATTAGTATGAAATACGTCAGTCTGCATTCGACTTAATGATAAATTGTATTTACTGACATTGAACTTGCTATTGATGACATTGATGACGTTAAACGAGACTGTAGATATCCTTGTTTCATCAACTTCTTTGTCAATATCTTGCCTCATTTTAGAATTGTTTCGGACGTGGAGCATGCTAGCTCTTGTGTATCGAATCAACTGGGAGGTAAAAACCCCATATGCAGCTAATAATGGTATATTGCTACATAAGTTAGGAAAGTTGACAGTAGAAAAGTTAAAGTCATCACATGTATCATAAAATTTTGTTGTTGGTTACCATTAATGTCTTTTTCTAGTAAAATATCCAAAATGAAACAGATTTGTCAGACTCTGTGGTATCTTTTATTTCACGTTCACTGGAATATATCGAGTTGACATGTGAATGGAAGTAACTATTGTTCATTGGTAATACGTCGTCGATATATCTAAAAGTCGAGTTGAAAGCCACAACAAGTGTCTTCTCCTTCTTATGTACAAGTTTTTGAATAAATTCTGCTTAAAGTGATGTGATTTCCTTACAAATATAAGTCTTCTAATAACGGGACGCAATCGGCACTCATGGGAATTCATACAAAATGTTGGAAGACCTAACCTCCAAAAACTACAGGTATATAGATACTATCAGCAGAAACTCAAGAATCTTTTTAATATCTACTTCAGAGTACTTGTGTGTATAATCAGAGTGTTTTTAACAAAATAATTTTGCAAATGACCAATGACAAGATAAGTATATTTATGAGTTCCATTTTTATTGAAAAAGCAGCTATTTATGATGTCAAAATGCCTGAACTTTAATTTATCGTAGGGAATGATTGAATAAAGTGTTGAAAAGTCGTATGTTTTGATGTTATTGATTTTGGTAAAATTTTATTTCAAATTTTCTATAAGTTCCTTGAAGTTTTTAATGATCCACGTCTGATTTACACCACTTCTCGAATATATTTACAGTACTCCTGAAGTTTCTCCTTCACTGCTGTTAATATTTTAGTTAGGAGTAAAGAAAGAGGCTTGGTAGAATCTTTACTTGAACCCGCTATGTAACTTTGTTTTGTAAGGATTTTTTATAAAGTTTTGAAATCCAATATTGAAACCAATTTTTTTCAAGTCTGCATTTTTTAACAAGTTTTATTTAATTCATACGATACATATTCTGTACTTGATTATGAAATTGATCACTATTCGTTATTTCACCTTTTACATCATAAGAAAACACACACAATCAAAAGAAAGCAATTATGGAACTTTACAATAATATGAGTTAAAATTGATAAAAAAACATACGGGAAATTTAATGGTTTTAACTGATATGGAATCTATTTTACAAATGGGACAGTTTTTGTTAATACTCCCCCTTTTTACGAGTGAAATAAATTCAATATTCAACTACAAAACACGTGAATTTTCTGTAAATGACATCTTATGTAGTTTTCGTATTGACTCTATCAGCTAAGTAGTTCGTTTTCATTTTCACAATGTGAAAATAACACCTGTCAGTCATTATTACCACAGTGTGAAAAAAGAACATGTCGGTGAAAATATCATTTTTATTCAATGGATAAGTTACAGTACTTCACACTGTGAAAATATAATGTGTTGAAATTGAAAAGTGTCATTTTTTCTTACTTTTCAATATTAGGTACTGACTTTCCCATTGCCTTTTCATGTTCTTTAATTCATCGTGCCAATTAAAGTGGATGATTTTTACAACGAAAAGAACTACATAAAAAGAGAAAAATAGATAGAGAGTATTCTTATTTATTTTAATCTATTTTCAATCACTGTCACATGTTATAAGAATTATGGTTTAAGAGTTATGCTATTGTATTAAAATTGAAAATCAAATTAAGTTTTTTTTAAATAAATATTTTCAGATGAACGTGACTGAGACAATTCTGTGCCCTTTGCAGATATGCCGTTCAAAGACTTAGTACTAAAATTAATTCTTGGGCAAATAAAGGGTATAAACTTTACCGAGAGCGTCAATTAAACACCGTTCTCTAATTCTCTGTTAACAAACTTCAAAAACAATAGAAGAAAACTTATGATTATATTTTCGCTGAGGCTCATATTAGGTGTATTTCCGGATACCCTTTGGAAGATAATTTTACAACCAAAACTGATAATTGAAATCTGTGTGAGTTTACTTCTGAAAATCCAATTCAAAATTGCATTCTTTTAACAAACTCGCAACAATTTATATCAATTCTCAGCAACCATAAGAATTAAACATGTCAATTTCAAATGATTTTAAAGTATTTGACAGTCAAAACAAAGAAGATGGACGAACAAGCCTATGGTTCATCAAATAAGATAGTGAAAAATTACAGTTCAATTATACTACGATTTTTTGGTATTTCAATTTACATTAATTTATCCTTTAAGTAAAATCTCCA